TGTCCGGGGGGGTTAGACGCCATGGTGATTATTGCGATGAATCAGTTGTGAAGAGCAGTCTGGAAAGAAGAAGCAGAAAGATGTTTTGGTATACTGTTTAGGGAGAAGGGGTGTAGACGTGCTTAAGAGTGGAAGCTTGAGTACCTAGCTTGGACGGAACTAAGAGGGGCTCTTGAGATGGAGGCAGTACTACGGATGCTTGGAAGGCCCACGGCCACGGGTGTTGAGTGCGCCGGGGCCGCGGCGTTGACGTGAGGTGGGCGGCAGTGTCCCGCGCGCAGTGTCGGAAATAAGGCGGAAGCCATCTCTGGAGCGGGCATGTCACCATCGCGGCCCGGTACCAGATGGTGTTGGCGGTGACGATCCCTCGGCATTTGAAGAAATATTTGGGTCTCCTCTGAAAAAACGGTGCAAGGCTGTCGCAGGTCGCATCTTCACTTGGGATTGGAATGACGCCCCTCCCCACCGAGAAAAGAGCCACAGCTGTGAAGTTCACCTCACCACGACTTCATGTCCGGTTTCGGTGAGAGCTTCTTCACCTTGTCGGCCTTTTTCAAGGTGAAGGAATGGTAAATCCGTAAGTCCGTGCTGACTCAGACCGCTCCCATCGATATCGCTTGCTGCTCGAGCACAGACTCTTTCCGCCCAGTGTGATACGTCACTCCTACCGGGCACTCAGCGGGTGACCAGCGACCAGCGACCAGCGACCACTGCCAACTGGAATGGAAGACCCAGCGGACCTGTTCAGCGCATTCAGAGGCCCCGGCCAGATCCAAATTTCCCTTAGCGTGCTCCACAGTGCTCTCGTCTGCCGTGGCTTCCCAGGTTTCCCTGTCTGAGCGTCCGTCGGGCCAATCACCAGTCCAATCCCCAGTCGTCCTTTTGGAGATCCTCCCGCTGGGCAGCACACTTTCAGCGTTCAATGTTCGAGCGTGTCTTTGGTGTCCTGAACCCCCCACTCCATCAATCTGCGAAGAACTGCAAACTGCAAGGCTAAGCTTCGTCGCTTCACTCCCGTGCGGCACACGACCTGATCTCGACCTATCGAATCCTAGATCCAAATACCTCGGACTACCTCATTCGTTTATCCGTGTCCGCCTTGCTTTCCCGCGAACCAACGAACCCCCGACGGTCAAAAGCGAATGGAGCCGATCCCTCGCGACCACGAAACACAGTGAAGGGCTTGGGAATGGCAGAAGGCGAACACCACCGAGTGCGAGAGGCCGAGGACCATGCATCGTATGGAGATACCGCCGCCGAGCCCGTCGAGGCCTTCCCGGCCATGCCAGCCTTCCCCTCCGACGGCCTGCCACTCGACCGCAATGCCGTAGACACGAAATGCGACATCAGAGTCTCGCACATTCCCATGCCGCCATTGCCCAGCGTCTCTGCGAGCGCACCTCCTACCTCGACACTCCCTACCATCCACGGCGGTCACTCCGACGAAGAGCAATCGTCAGATGCCTCCTCGACGCACAGCAAGCCGGAGCTGCAAGAGTCCTCCAACTCTTCCTCCGTATCCGAACCTGCGACCGCCGTCGAGAAAAAGGACGCCGAACACAAGGAGGGCGCAGAGCAGAAGACGCGGGCGAGAGCCGGGTCTAGTTCCGCATCCATGAAGAAGAATCAGAGCCACGATAATGTTAGGAGGTTGTCTGTGGCGGGAATGCAGCAGCTGCAGGATCCAGAAGCTCTGCCCGTAGCCCTTGTTGCAGACGGCGCAGCAAGCGATGGGGACCGGCCGGCGCACATATCAGAGCAGCTGCAAGCGATTCGGCAGTCGATCTTGAGCCAACCGGACACCCTCCGGCGCAATGGGCCGGTGACGGACGGTGGTAGCAGGTCACGACATCACGATGAATGGCGCCGCCCGACCTCTGGAAGGACCTTATCTACGCCCCCGACGAACCGAAGACAGTCTCAGTCTCAAACCACCTCTCCTCGCCGGAATTCCTTCTACACCGTTGCTCGGCCGCCACCCCTGAATCTCGAGGCGGCAACCCACTTCAACGCTGTCAGCCCTCTGCCTCCCCCGACGCAGACGACGAGCCAGCCCAAATTACCCCAGATCCAAGTGCCGCCGCCGTCGTCGCAGCAATCCAAAGCTCCCCGAAATGACCCCTTTCCGCCCTCGCCTCTGCCTCCTTCGATACCCCTCCCGCCCATGTCTATACCAACACATCTACAGCTAGAACTGGCAGCCCAACGACCGAGTCCTTTGTACATACATCACTCACATACTAATGATATTCCATACGAGTCATATGCCGTCAAGTGGGAAAGACTCAAAAATGTTCTCTTGCTGCCGTCATTCCTCGAACGGACCCTCTATTTCGGGGCCCTGGCCTGTCTCGATGCTTGGCTTTACAATTTCACCATTCTACCCATGAGGTTCTGCATTGCCTTGGGCGTTTTGGTCAAGTGGTGGGGCTATCTCGCGGCAAAGGAAGCGCGCTGGATGATCGGATATGTCTGGCATGGACTGGGTAGAGTATGGGCTAGAGCCCGACGACCCAGGTCCAGAGCTACCTCCTCGGCCCAGCATGAAGACCCCGATCACCTCGTCAGCCGTGACAGGAGTCAAAGCCGACCAGCGCACCGGGGCACGCCTTTGGTAACCCCAGATATTAGATCCTCAAGCGACGTTCCCACAATCAACATCGATTCGGAGACAAACGGCAATCAGGTTATCGAGCAAGAAGTAAAGATGAATGGTAACGGGCATGGAGTCACTTATAAGATAAATGGCTCTGCCGGTCACCATCCAACGCACATGTCCGGACATCGGCAGGCTCGTCATAGGAGGACGAAGTCGATCCCATCCAACTTGTCCTCATTCCACAAGGCCGATCTACTACAGGGAGCCGTAATACTGTGTAGTTCTCTGTTTCTCATGAAGCTGGACGCCAGTCGGATGTATCATTTCATTCGAGCGCAGGATGGCATCAAGCTCTACGTCATCTACAATGTCCTCGAGGTAGGGAACTTTCGGACGTCAACGTGACAGCCTTTGCTAACGGAATGGTAGGTCGGCGATCGCCTGCTTTCAGCTCTCGGGCAGGACATTTTCGAGTGCCTCTTCAGTTCCGAGACCCTATCAAGGAACAGTTCTGGTCGCTCCAAAGTCCTCCTGCCCATGGGCATGTTTGTTCTGGCCCTCGTTTACAACGTCATCCACTCCGTCTCTCTGTACTATCAGGTCATCACGCTGAACGTGGCTGTCAACTCATACTCCAACGCACTCTTGACCTTGATGATCTCGAACCAGTTCGTCGAGATCAAGAGCACCGTGTTCAAGCGGTTTGAGAAGGACAACCTCTTCCAGTTGACGTGTGCCGACATTGTGGAGCGGTTCCAGCTTTGGATCATGCTGCTGATCATCGGCATGCGTAACATAGTCGAAGTCGGCGGCCTGTCTGTGCCTGGCGCTGGCTCCGAGAGTGGCAGCGATATGGGTGGAGGCGCCATGCCCCTCCACAGCCCGTCCATCCTGCCCTTCAGCTTCACGGTGCTGCCATCCTGGGTGTGGTCTGGCGAGGTCCTGTCCCCCTTCTTGATTGTCATTGGCAGCGAGATGCTGGTGGACACCATCAAGCATGCCTACGTGAACAAGTTCAACAACATCAAGCCGACGTTCTACAGCCGTATCCTCGATATCCTGTGCAAGGACTACTACACAAATGTATGCCTTGCCCCCTTCCCAAACTTTGATCATAACCTAACACCGTCCCAGGCCTTTGTCACGCCTTCGTTGACTCGACGACTGGGCCTTGCTGTCATCCCCCTTTCGTGTCTCTTCATCCGGGCATCGGTACAGACATATCACATGTTCCTATCAACAAGAATTCCTACTCCACTCCCGGAGTCAACACAGACATCGCTTTCCGTCGAATCTGCGACGCCATCCTCGCCAGTCATGGTCGCGGCTCTCGACCGCCTCGACACACTACTGCGCGACGCCCTGGGGCGCGCCGTCTACGGCTATCCGTACGCATCTCCCGGCGTCAAGGCCCGCTCGTGGTGGTCCTGGACCAGCGACGACGTCATCGCGGCAGTGACAATGATCGTCGTCTTCTTCATCGCCTTCCTCGTCCTGCTCGTCATTAAACTCCTGCTGGGTATGATCCTCCTGCGGTACTCTCGCAACCGTTACGCCAAGATGAAGCGTAAGGAGCACTTGGTGGCAACGGGTCAGGAGGAGCGCGAGTCTTACGATGCCAAGGGCAAGCGTGTGGGCGGATACGGCCATATCGAAGTGACGGAAGACAGACGCAGGTGGATCCATGCGGACGAGAAGGAGGGACTGAAGGGTGGCAAGGGACGTGTGCAAAAGGCAGAGAAGCCCCCAGAAAGTGACTACAACGGAGTCTACCGGTACGAAATGGTTGCGAAGAGGATTTGGTAGTTTTCGGCGTTTAGGAGGAATGCGTGTTCAGCATAGTTTACATGGCATTGCATAGCTGGGAAGCCACGGAGTTTATGTTGCCTATCTCTTGCTTGTTCACTAGGGCATGCAGTTTAGCAATTCGATGTATGATTTATTATCCTATTTATGATTTCGTATGATAGGTATCGAAACTTGGCTCTTACGAAGTAGCCTGAATTCATCCAAGAGGCGTTTAGGGAGGATAGGCTTTCGGTCAACGTTGGCATCAATAATGGCCGGTGAACACGCTCTTACTTCGCCTTGTCCGGGTGCCCCTCCCGTCAGCTCTCGAGCCATCATTTGCCTGGGGTTCCTGGCGTATTCTGCCAGTCTGGATGTAGAAGGCACCTTCGATCAACACTCCTTCCGCCAACGCGCCATCCACCACCTCCTACCATCGCACCTCCTACCATCGCACCTCCCACCAGCAGAACTTTCCATCAACGCGCCTTTCATCGTTGTCTCCGGTCGTAAATGTTCTTTCAGCCAGTCCACCTTCTTCCATTATTTCGCCTCATCATCGTCTTCATTAACATAACGCACTCTCACACAGGTCAACACCAGTCAACCCACGATGGCGACCCCTAACGTCGATGACCTAACTAAGGACCTAACGAATAGATACAACTACATCTGGGACCGCTACTTCCATGCAAATCGTGCTGAGGCATTGAAGATGGCCGCAGATCTCCTCAAAGAGCCGGGACTGTGCGCGGACCATCAGGCTGGTATGCACCAACTTCTGGCCTGCGACCCCTTCAACTTCAATGATGACACTGTCATGCACGCTAAAGAGGTGGTCCGCATCGATAGCGAGATCGTCCAGCAGTATCATGACACCGCTACGATGCACGAGCAGGCTTTCATGCAAACCCAGCTTCGGTTTGCGAAGGAGCATTTTCAGCTTGTTCTAGAGAAGAAGCGCAAACTCGACGAGGAGATAGCCTTTTGGGTGTTTGTCATTTCCTGCCCGTATCCATCCGTCACCTAATCAAGTCCCATACAGGTCTGTGGAATTCGTCAAGGCCGATGCCCAGGACACACAACCCAAGCAGGCAGAACAGGGTGAGCAGGCCGAACGACCGGCAGTTCCAGAGGACGACAACAACCTAGGCGATATGCTCTCTCTTTCTTCCGTCACCGCTGCCGACGGTGAACTTCTTCGTTCCAGTCAAAATGCACCCTCGGACACTACCCGCCGTACCGATGAGTCCTCCCAAGATCAGCCCCAGTCCACCGCGAGGGTTGATGCTGCCTCCCCCCGGGACCTGCACATCCATACACCAGAAAAGGAGAAGTTGTGATCTCCTGCTATGGCACACTGCAAGATACGATGAGGTGGACAGGAACAGCAGCATTGACAGAGGTAGCAACCGGATAATTGGAAAGGAGAATGAGCTCGTCGTGGAAGGCGCAATGGAGGGCATATTTCCTTCTAGAGTAGTCAGCCTGCCGCTTCATCGAGCTTAGTTAGGAATCGTTTCTGCTCGCCTCTGATAATTCGCGCGAGGGGCCGGTGCTCATAAATTGTGCCGTGATACGATCCTTCTAGGGCGACGTGATGGACGTGACGAACAAGACGCGGGTTGTAATCGTACGGCGGCACTCTGGCCCTTGGTATATCCGTCATATGGCATCGTTCAACCTCCGAATCGACAAAGTCGACGTGCATCGGTCGAGATGTACGGCATCATTGAATCTCTGCCGCTAGCCCCTTGACTATTCTTCCCTGAGTGAACCAACATCTCGGCGCCGCGGGCGCTCCCGCTTTGCTGTCTCGGTAGTTGACGTTGGACCAACGATCTTTGTGCCTGCATGCAACCTTATTCTGATGTTTGCCAAGAAGGTCTCGTAAAACATGATGAAAATGCAGGTTTGACGTTGAAAATACCGAATTGGTTTCCAAAAGTTCATTTCACCCTTTGTCCGGCAAGAGCACCGCGTATTGAAGGGATGAATGCAGGCTAGCTGAACCCCTGTTTGAATGACGGGGGCAAAGTCTTCGCCGACGGCAGCGTTAAAGGGATGAACCATACGAGCAAGACGTATGTTGGCTGCCCACATCAGTGCCTGTGGTACTACGCACTATCTATGAGCAAGTCGATAGCTTACAGGGCAAGAAGCGCGGAGGAAATCTGGCATTTGAAGAACCTCGCGCAAGGGAGGGGCACCAGAGACGATAGGAATGAGGTACATGCACTGTATGCTAGCTTCTGGCCCGAGTCAAATGCCGCCGCTTCAGTGGTAAATGTGGTAGGGGACTCTTCGCTGGCAGCACGCTTTTAATGGATGACGAATTTGAATAATTTAGGGGTGTTTCTCTGATGTATATAGGCAAATGGCTTACCTGTTGCGCAGTAAACATGGTCCCCAGACACTGCAAAGGCAGCAGAAGGGTAGCGAGACGGAAATCACATCCCTCAGCTCGGCGCCTTGAGCTCTGACAAGTCGTGCCATGCCTCCGGGGGACCATTCTGAATAAAAACGGAAATTAGGAGCTCCCGTATCTTGACGACGATGTCGCCAGTTGGCTTCAGGGAGCGGACGCTGCCATCAGTGAAAGCATATTCACCTCGGGAGGCAGCGAGGAGAAGACACCGCATAATTAGAATGCCAGTATTCTGAAGCCTATTAGCCCATGAAGTCTAGCACAAGAAACCTATACCGACGAAAGCGACTTCAACGTTCCAGCCTAATGATCAAAGTCGCCACGCTCCGAGATTGCAGCAGCATCTACGGAACTACTCGGATCAAGCCGATACTATTGCAAGATGTGAGGAAAGAAGTTCGAAGCGTATGCGCATACCGGGCTGTGGGAGAAGCGACGAGATTCGTACCATGGGTACAGGGCTCACAGCGTGCTAGCAAGTGAAGTAGACAGCCCGTGCTAGAATTCGGTCGAACTCGCGACGACGTTGAGAAAGCAGGCAATGGCAACAACACATCAGGTGCAAAGCGTAAAGATCCGGGAGTACGACAACATCAATAAGGAACGTAGGTGACACCGAACGGGACCCTATTCTTGAAGTGTTTTATTGTGAAAGATCCTACAATGTCCAGAACCTTGAGGGCCTAGGAGTACATCAGTTTACAGTGTCTGAGACTCGCCCTATTTGCTGCTAAATTGTTTTTCAAATCCATCTCAAGCACCCTGTAGAGCACGGCTAGGCACTTGGCTTTTATGCCCTCAAGGTGCGAGACCTACAACGGGCTTCATAGGTCTCGGGCTGTAGGCAATCTCAAAGACGGGTACAAATATCATCAATCATCACATCTGAAGCTAGGTTGATTTCTTTTTGTCACTTGAACTGACTTTCTGGAGCTTCAGAATGTGCCCAAGACCCGCCTGGCGCTGGTAGGAGTTCTCTGTGCAAGGGCTCAGGGGGTCTTGGCACCCTTCCAGCAGCATGGTCCGTCACCATCCATGCCTACCTCACCTCGCGTTCTCTGGGCCAATTCATAGTTATGTGAGAGACATCGATCTCACTTTTGAAAGGATATTGCCCTCATGGCCAAGTCGCTGAAAACCGTCTTGGGTGGGCGCTTTCTACCATCTCTTCGACGCTGGGCGGTTGCAAATGCTTACCCCTGACAGCCCCAAGTCCGGGTCAGGGGGCCACCTTTGCAGTGTAGGTTCACGAAAATCTCTATGAAGGCGTTTCTGCACCACCTTTGATGATGTATAAAGCAATTGTCGTTCTGTCGCTTGAAGCACTTGACTATCGGCCTGTTGTTACGCTCCTCTGTGCTGATACGCACAATATTTACATGGCGACAGTTTATGTGCAATGACCGAAACCGTCGCCATTGTCGTTAGAAGGACGACAGTGGAAAGAGTTGACAAGCAATGTTTGCTGTGGCACGGTAGAAACATGCGATCTCCCCGAGCAATGTTGACGGAGGGTGTGGCTCTGCCCAAATGTGATGCAGCTCTCTTGCTGAGAAGGCTTGCTGGAGGTCAATGAGGCACCTCTGGTTGCGTTCAAGTCGTGACTGGCTGTACAAGCCGTCACTGAAGTCAATTCAGTGACTTAACAGCGTCTCGGATCCCCGCAACCAAGATGTTATTCCCATGGCAGAACTTTGTGAAGCAACAGCCACTGCTACACAATGGCAACCACCCAGGTGGTCAGCGAGACATACGCTCGAATTTTCGTCGCTCACTTGTGTCACGACTGAACTATCTTGCATCGCAAACTGCCGATAATCAAACATCCATTCATCGTGACACACGTTATCGTTTACATCATTACAGGCAAGCACCGAAACGACAACCATACGCCTCCTGGACCGCTCCCAGAGCGGAACGCTAACGCCTAGAGCCCAAGCCCTTCAAAATCATATACACAGTTCATTTACAAGCGCCGACAGGCCTACCGGAGGCCGACGCCATCTCCCCTCGAGACCCTCTCCCAGAAGCGCCGGAGTCGCCAGACCCTCCCGACACCCTTGCTCTCCTCCCACTTCTTGACGCCTTCCTCTCGTTGTCGCACCTCGCCCTTCCACACGCCCTCGAGCCATTGTCTCAAACCATCCTTGACCCTCTCCTTCTCGATGGCCCGCCGTTTCGCGACGAGAGAAGGCGCCACTTGCAGCTTGTTCAAGCCCGGGACGCACTCGGGAGGCAGCACGGCGCGTTCCACAAGAGCCTCGGCCGAGGGTCGGGAGGCGAGGCGGCGGGACAGCCGGATAGACACGAGGGAGCGGGCCAGACGGCGCGAGACGACGGAGGTGTGCGTGAGGAAGATGGAGCGGCCGATGAGCTCCGCCAGCGACGGGCGAGAGGGGGACGCCAGCAGAGGAGGCAAGATGGCACGTGTGTGCCGGAGGCGGTAGTGGTGAAGAATGGGCGAGAGGGACAGGTGACGCAGGTGGTGATTGGTCTGTGTCATCAGCAGAGTTCTCGAAACACAGAGCAAAAAAAACTACGGATCAAGTGGTACGAGCGTGCGTGTAATTACATGGGAGAGAAAGATTCTTGCGGGGGAGAGGGTAATGATTGGGACGAAACGAAGACGAAGGATCGAGGACCATCACAGAAGCGACAACGCGGGGAAGAAGCCTACCCTCGAAGTGGACAGTAGATCGTTCACATCCAGGTAGCCGAGGATGTGAAGCAGGAGCTCGTTGGGGAGATCTGAGAGGAACACGCTGGCAGGGTGATGCGGCCGTCGGCACAAAGTGAGGCACGAGTTCGCGAGGGTCTGGTGCGGTGGCGGCTGCGGCTGGTCGTCACGAACTTGGAGCGGCGTCTGTATCTGGGTCCACGGTCGGGCATCAGCGGCCGCCGAGGGCGGGGAGTCGGTTGGTGGGCGAAGCGCAGGGTCAAGTTCATGATGGCCAAGTTGCGGGTGGGAGTTTGCAAGCTGGCGGGTCGGGGGGATGAGCTGTTCTGGGGCCATCTCGTCGTGCATTGCGTCCATGGCTGACTCGGTCGCCTGCAAGACAAGATGGTGACAAAAATGAAAGGTCCAGAGGGAGTGATGGAGTCCTGGGTATTTGTTGGCAAGAGACTACAGCGAAGATAGTCGCGAGCGCTGGCGCATACGGCCGGGGGGTGATGGTGGTGGTGGTGGTGGTGTTGTTTGTCACGGTGGAGGTTCAAGGTTAGCCGGTGACTTCCGCCGTGGGCTGGGGGTTCGGAGATGAGAGAAGTACGGCGCCGATCAAGGCGATGAAGAAACAATGCAGGTGGTGCTGGTTGGAACGACTAAGACCCCGTGTGAGTGGCCTGGTTGCGCGCGGTAGCAGAAGAAAAAGATGTTGGTTGCTGGCCGACCTAGACCCGGCCGAACTCCAAACGGCCCGGGGTTTTGCGGCCGTTGAGATGGCTCGATAGACGGGCGGATGTCAAGTAGCCGGTGTCTGCACGGCGGCAAGGTCGTCAAGTTGTTGATGGCTTCGAGAGGCAGCCAACCGAAACGCTTATGCGAAGGCGGCCAGCAAAGGAGGAATCATGAGAGGAGATGGATACCCCGCGACGACGAGGCGTATGAGTGACCGATGTCGTAGTCGCAAGCAAGGCCAGCTGGCGATGTGATGTCCAGATATCGCAGGTGCCTTCAACCCGAGCTGGATATGGGTACTCGGCGCACAATGGTCACTGACCGAGGGAGGGAGTGAGGGAGTGAGTGTGTGAGAAACGGCAAGAGAATGATCAACAACACCAGACGTGATGTTGTGGGGGTTGGAGGGTGCTTCGGTGAGGCGGAGGGAGGCGCGGGCGCGGGCGCGGAAGTGAGTGAGATGCATTGATGGAAGTGAGTGCTGGTGCTGGTGCAGCATTGCAGCTTGCGCCTCCATC